AAGGAGTTCCCGCCACCCGCATGCAAATTGGTTCCCCGTTATTGGCTAGTTCTAAATTATTCCCACGTGGCGGCTAACGATTGGCCTGTTAGCCGTATAAGAGGCTTGAGCGGTTTCCGCCCAAGTTTGGCGACCTGATCCATCGCCCACCTCTTCCCGTCTTCGAGCGATAATTCTTTATAAGACGTATCTACGAAGTTCCTATTTTGATGGCGCGCTTGTCCAGAGCATCCGGAGCTCTGTTTCCGTGGAGCCTAGCAAACTCCATGTGACCGTTCGTGTTGTTTATGTCTGTAACCGCAACTCAAGCAAGTTTTCCAGCCTACACCACAACCATCTCTGGTATAAGTAAACAATCTTTAAATCTACCGCTACGAGTCTGTGCCTAATTCTAGCTTGACGCGCCCTCTCTCCGACCCCGCGTGCCCAGGCTGCTGGCCACAGCCCGTGTGCAGCACGAAAAGGGCCCGGCTCGCGCCCGGCCCGCACACTCATCTACCAGGTTGCTGTCATTCCTACCCTGTTCCATGGGTGTAGAACTTGGATGAAACTGAAAACAACCAAAAGCTTTGGAACCTTTCTATAAGCAATGTCTTTGGAAAGTCCTCCAAATCAACTGAAAGGACAGAAGAATGAATACTAACCAATACTGAAATGATGTTTATGCAGCACCACCTCTGTTGAACAGGACATTTCATAAGGACACCTGACAACCAGCTCCCAAAATGGGTCTTACACACCCAACTCACCAATGGTCACTGCTCTAGAGGTGGGCAAAAGAAGAGATTAAAGGATGCCTTAAAAGCTAATCTGGAGAAATGCAATATTAACAACACCTGGGAGAGTTGAGCACTGAATTGTCCCCAAAGGCATCGTGATGTACACCAAGGCATTGATTATTTCAAGCAAAATTTCCTCCCCGTGGAAGCAGACAGACAAGAGACAAAAGAAAAGAGCTGTGGCCCGACATCATCAGACTCTACTCCTTCCTCCTGGAACTATATGCTATATGTGCAGTAAGACTCATAGAAAATTAAAGGTTTTGAAAGGACCTCAGATCAGATTTAAGCAGGACCCTGTCCCAACTATCTCATCCCAGCTGTAGTGCATAGTTCCATGAAACCAAGGGCACAATGCTTTTCCTTGGTTGTCACAGAATCATAGAAATTAAGATAGAGTCCAAACCCTTGCTCTGGGGAGGAATTGGCTTATTGCTGTCATTTTAGTATTCTCCTGTAATTGCTAGATGGAAGAAAATCCTGCACTGGATTTTAATTTTTTTCTTTTTTTCCCCTCCCCCTACCTCTGTTTTGTAAGACTGCATGATTTCCCCCCAAGTGTTCTCTGGCTCAACCAATAGGTAACTTCTTGCCCTGCGATTTCACGAAACATGATCTGATGGTTCTTCTTGTGGCCTGGCTTCCAATTCAGAAGCTATACTGTCCAAAACTGGGTTAGGTCTGATGATCTGGTAAAAGACTATACTCAGCTCTTTGATCCTAAATCTGGTGTAGAGAATGAGACCTTTTGTACTGTGCTCTTCATCTTAGCTTCCTGAAGTGACAATGAGCCTCACATTAATCCATTAGATGGGTCCAATTTAGGAGGCTGTTGCTACAGCTTTTTAGATCATTAAAATTCTGCAGCATATTTCGTCATTGCTTGCAAGCTCACAGGATAAACATGCTGCAAATTGAGCACCTTGAAAGAAAGTGACCCTCAAAAGGCAAATCAGTAATCTGGTATGTGCGATTGCAAAAAGATGATTACTGCAAAAGAACACCTCTTAAAAACCGGTTTTCAGCTATTAGACTCTTGTCAATTCAATAGTTAGAACTCTATTCTGAACTAACATTACCTAGAACAATTTAGGAAGATGATAACCAGCAAACCATCTCTAACCCCATCAAGAAGAAAAGTTAAGGGAAAACATTATCAGAGAGAAGTAGCCAAATCAGAAGTAGCTCATGTTCATCTGCTGCTACAACTGGAAGGCACCGAGGTGGCAAAGGGCACTGTTTCCTAGGCACTCTGAACATTCAGAAGTGCAGAAAGGAGAGGAAGGCCCCAAGTGCCCTTTAACATACACAGCTACTATAAATATCTTCCAAGTACAGAGACTTTGTTTATTAGCAATCCTCCATGAGAGGCATCTGTTCTAACCCCCTCATTACTGGGATATTTGTATTGACACCCAAAATGCAACCTAGGGGGCAGGCAATTACATTAATTAATATACCTACCTCAAACTAAAAGGATCTTTTACACAAGCCATTTGTGTGCGTTTCACAGATAACATCTAAGTAAGAGGCAAACCATTACAGTAATCTTCAGAGCATATTTTTTGCAGACTACAAGGTTTTTTCAGTGTCGTGGCAGACTGTGACAGGGCAAGTCCTCCTTAGGAACACAGTGTCTAGGAAATGTGTCATCCCAAGAGACAACCTGGGTGAGGCACCAGGAACTGCTTAGGGTGGCAATAAGGCTAGGCCCCAGACCCTTGCAAAAGCAGTAGCAAAGCTTACTTCTTACTGTAATAGTTCTTATAGAAAAGGTTTGTATACATAAAAAGTATTGTTTTTTACTGCACAAGCCTCATCAAGATGCCACAGACTGCATGCAGCAGCTCACTTGCTCTGAGCTAGCTCAAGTGCTGCTTCAGGCACAAACTAGTGTTTAGCCAATAGCTACTGCAAAGTCTTTAGCAGCTGAGAGGGTTAACATAGGACTCTGCCCCTTCTGCTTGATGGAGCAAGAAAATCAACAGCCATCTTGGTAGCCCTTACAGCAGCGTCAGCATGTTTCTATTCTTCCCCATTTCTACTGCAGCAAAGAAGAATCAACTTCAACATAAAACAGGCCCTCCAATTTTGGAGGGCTGATTCAGGGCATATGAGTGCAGTATGCAAATAAATACAGTATCAACTATCCAAGTCAGGGGTGGGCAGTTATTTTGGCTGGAGGGCCATTTTCAGAATTTTGCTGAGCCGTTGCAGGCTGGAGGGGGTGAAGGAGAGGGACAATTGATCCTTTCCAGCTCGAGGTCTGTCCACCCTGCACCCACTGCTGGGGGCCCTGGATGGAGTGGGCGGGGTCTCCATGGAGACCAGCTGGGACCCCTGCAGGCAGGGCGTGCTGGGCCAAGCAGATGAGATGGGGCTGCAGGAAGGGAGTGGCATCTGGGGCAGGATGGATGGGCAGGGCAAGGATTGTGATATGGTGACAGCGCAGGGTACAGCTGCAATCTGCTCCCCATACGTTCCTGTGATGCATGTTGGCTCCGAGGGCAGGGGCATGCAGAGAGTGGATTGTAGCTGTGCCACAGGCCCAGATCCCAGCCCCATGCCATCACCACTTCATAGTCCTGGCCCCGGCCACCCATCCCACTCCTGGACACCACTATACACCCAACCTTTCGCCCCATCCCATCCACCCAGCCTGCAGGGGTCCTGGGCTGGTTTCCAGGGAGATGCCACTTGCACGGTCCCGCACCCCTAGTAATGGGTACAGGGTAGGTGAGCCAAGATGCCCAGGAAGCGGGACCAAGTCTGGCAGTGGCAGAGACCTTAGTGACGGCAGCCGGAAGGAGCTGCCACTGGAGGCTTCCAGGAAGCGGAGTCCGGACACTGCACCTGCCCCGCCAGGTGCCCAGGGGTGGCAGGACTGAGCACATGCACTATGGCTCAGGCTGCCCCTCACACCCAGGCCATTATTTTGTCTGCCCTGGTTCCAAGTGGTTATAAACTCTGATGGACAATTGAGTAGAGACTGTCCTCCCATTTTTGGTTCTCTGTAAAAAGGTACATTTGTTCTTGGACACTTATTTATAAACTAGCCAACTGCCCATCAAGAATGAGCGGGGTGGGGGGGGTCTAGGCTGCCCCCCTCCGTCTGCTTCATCACTGCCTCCTGCAGGGACAGGGGGACAGGGCCAGCACTGCTGGCCTTGCTGCTGGGGGGATGGAGCCAGCACTGCTGGCCCATCCACTCCGTTGTTGCTGCCACAGCCTGGCATGGGGGGGGGGCAGAGGCCCGGGGCCAGCCTTACTCTCCCCAACCTTGCCCCCACTGCTTTGGAGCTGGGGCCATTTCTCCGATCCCCACCCAGGGGTCCGGTGGGAACAGAGCCCAGCTCCCAGCCCTGCGGCCCCCGCCTCCACAATTTGGGCTTGACTCCATTCTCCCCTGGTGACTCGTGTTCAGGGTCACTCCCCGTCCCCGCCCTTGCCATGGCAGCCCCGACCCCATCCCCCCCCCCGCCCCCATTGCCTCCTCCACAGAGCAGGAGGAAGGGGGGGCCCAGGCCAGCTTCTACCTGGCCCCAGCTTTCGCCTGGCCCCCCATCCCCTCTGGCCCCACCATCACGGTGGCACTCCACCACCTGCTGCACATAATGCTTTATTCACACTCTGACTGGTTGCCGAGACAGAATATATAGAACGAGTGTATTGACCCATCCCAGTTCCCTAGGTGAAGGGCCTGAGACTTGGCCCCATAGCTTTAGTTGTTCAGAAGTTTACATACATGCTAGATCTTGGTACAGAAGAACCCAGATTCTTTGCCTGGTTTGGTTCCTTGCCCAAGTGTGAAGATGAAAGTTTTCAAAAAACTGGGGGCTTAAAAAGCCACACAGCTGCACAGGGCCACTGAGGCACTCCAGCTGTTTGTTGCGACTTTTATTTCAGAGGGCTCCACTTTAATTAGCCAAACAGACAATCTTCAGCTGAATGGGAAAGCAGTATCCTTTAAAATACAAGCCAAAGCAAACACATGAGTAGCTTGTCCTCAAATTGACAACCTCTTGCAAATTAAGCAGGTTTCAAGTCACGGTAGAACCCAGATCATCACGTTACCCAAGTTGGGCTATGGATGAACACTCCATTTCCTGAAGGCATACTTAGACTGCAGACTCTTAATTCACGTTTTCTAGAATTATGCAGCCCTTACGGTCTAGCAGTTTTGACAGTGAACTGCACACAGTCTCAAGATACCCAACTTACATTTTCCTGGCCAGAGGATGGAAATGGCTCTGCTAAGAGGAGCCTCTGATCAGAGTGGTTGTGGTCATCGTCAGAAACAGACTGCCCTGATGAGTCGGGCATGTGTCCTTTCCTGAGCCGTAGGAGTGGCTCTGGAGAACCAGTGTCATCGAGATCCGTTGGTTCATTCATGAGACCCTGGGGGCCTTCTCAAAAAGTATTACGCTTCCTCTTTTGGGACTGGTTTTGCCGACAGTGCGATGACTCTGAAAAACAAGCAGAGTTTATGTAACTGAAAGGTTTCTAAAGAAACAGACTGGGGGGGGGGGGGGGGGGGAGTTTTTTTTTTGAATGTTTTTTGTTTGTGTAACCACAAGCTATTTCATTTAGTTATTAGATTTCTATGCCGCCCTTTTCCAAACGGCTCAGACTGTCTACCTGAAGAAAACAGGTTTCCCTCATCTGTGCCCACGCTCCTGTAGCATCCATAAACACGAAATAGAAACTGAAGTCATTGTCTCATACAACTAATAGTTTTTAAGGTTAACTGCCTTAAAAAAAACCTACGAGTAATATTTCACCTTCTCTTGTGTCTTTTACCAGGTGACTAAAAGAGAGTGCTCTTTTCCAAACGAGTCAACAAGTTCCTCAGCATATCAATCAATTTACAACACATGAAACAAAACAAACTTTAAATAATTTTTTATTCTCTTCAGAACAGAGAGAGTTTTCAAGCTAAATCTGTGCAGTTAGAAAATAAAAAGCAATTTGTCAAACTCATTCTAGAAACTTCACTGTCCCCCTCCTTCCTCCCTGCCCAGGAGAGACATGGCCATTTTTGGCACCCACATAGGAGGTTATAGTTCTTAAGTTATAATTCACTTCTTAGTTTAGAACACAACACAACACTAGGGCTGCTCCACTGACAACAACTATGTTCACTACATTTTGCTTGCCTTTTTTCCCCACCAGCATCATATCTAGACCTATTCTGAAGAACCAACTCATACATATTATAGCATACAGCGGCTACCTGTTGCCCTGGTTGGTTATGGGAACACACCCACACTAGTTACCATCATTGGGACTGCACCTAGTAGCAAAGTATTCCTGCTAAAGAGAGACTATCATAGACAGATTTAAGTGGTGTGTCTTCTGTCACAAAGAGAAGTAAGCCCTTACCTTCCTGGTTCTGAAGAGCTGTTTTGTTTTCTCAGATGTCTATTAAACATTCAGAAGGAAATTTGCACATACATGGCGGCATTGCAGAAAAAAAGTTGAGAACTTTGAAGTCAAGGTACTAGTTTTGTTATGTAAAGTGGCAGATAGTTAACTGATGACTCAGGTTAGCCATCACCCTACACCTCACCTACCGAAGTAATATCTACTGGCTTATTTATCTTCTACATCTACACTAAGAACTGCATGCTAGGCACTTCAGAGCCAAGGTAACAAGAGTCAAAGTACCTAGAGATAAGATAAGCAGGGTGGGTTGTTGTATTATTATTTTTTTTTTTGGGGGGGGGGGGGGGGGAGAACGACACACGCCAACTTATAAATTAAATAAGAAGTTCAAAACAAAAAACTCCTTCTACTGTAATATCTGAGCAATTAACACACATGTAGTTAGTCATAAGTAAACAACATAATCAAGTAGGCTTTAACTTATCACAGGGAGTATATCATTAGATTGGGGTTGTAAGCTTAGTGGCTGATGAAGCATACTGAGATGATACTTCATTCCCATCTCGCATACCTGATTTACTACCCTTTCTGTATTATATTTTAGAACACTTCCCTTAAAAAACAAAACAAAACGACCCGCCCCCATTCAAAGAGTTAAATTTCAAAGTCAGAACTCTTTCAAGAGTTAGGAAATGCCAGGATTAAAAGACTCTGTATGGTACATCAAAAGAAGCAAGCCTAAAAAGATAGATATAGCTTGCTTCACCTAGAAAAAGCATCCCTTGTTTTTAAGGACTAGGGATACTAGGCTAGGATTATATCTGGCCCATTTAAGGTTAAGAATTCTGCCTGCCACTTCCCTGAGAGTAGGCTTAAGCAGAAAACTGATTTATGTAAACAAGAACCATGAATGTAAACTGGCTCTGCCCAGATTATTGAAATCTTGCCTGTTCCTGCATTGTGCAAAGCAGCTAATTCCCAATTCTCATGCGCTATACAAGGTGGAATTTTCAGAATATACACGAGAAAGTTTAGAAATAAAGCCGAGAGGAAAACAGTAGCAAATAGTCCGCATTAAGTTTCTAACAACACTTAAAAATTGGGCATCTTGACAAGAGAACATTTTAGAGATTAAAACCATATGGAAGCATACTATATAAAAAGGAGAACAGTAAACAAAACTGGTTAGTAAAAAGGTAACAATAAGAATGCACCACACACAAAACAGGGATAATATTCAACATGCATGCCAGCTGAGTGCATTTCAGCATTTCCCACAAACTTCAGATAGTCCTTAACTAACACCTTATAATAGACCTGGCATCATGTAGGTCTGTATAACCCCATGGTGGCCAAACCACAGCTCATGAGCCGCGTGCAGCTTGCCAGCATGGTACTTGCAGCTCTTCGGAAACTGGCCAAAGCCCCACCCACTTCTCCCAGAGGTGACTCCAGGGGGACAGCACAGCCCAGCACCTCCCGCTGCTCCAGCCTTCCCTGGGGGAGCATGCCTCAAGCCCTCCCTCCTCCTCTTTCCGGGGCAGGGGCTGCAGCCACACCACATACCACTGTTGTACATGAATCCTCTTTTCAAGATGACCCAAGAGAGGGCATCGACATAGTGGACACCCAGATGAGCACCAACACCCTGAGATACTTGCATAGTGACAGAAACCAGAAGAGAACTCGGGTGTCTTTATGAGAAATCCAGAAGCATGGGCAAACAGGAAGAACGGGCTCTCCTTCCAATAGACAAGGAATTTGACCTCACTGAGTTGACAAAGACCTGGTGGGACGACATGCATAATTGGGCAGTGGACATCAACAGCTATAGGTTCTACAGGAAAGATCGCACTGGGAAGAAGGGAGGAGGGGTGGCCCTCTGTGTGAAAGAATGGTATCCCTCCCTGGAGGTCAGGTTCGATAGTGGGGAGAGGTCCCTTGAGACCCTCTGGGTCAAGATACAAGGGGGTTCAGGAGGGGGAGACTTGATGGTGGGACTCTACTACAGGCCTCCCTCCCAAGAAGAGGAGAACAAATCAGGTGTTCTCCAAGGAAATGACTCAGGCAGGCAGCACTAAAGACCTGATTATCAACTACCCTGACCTGCTGGGGGGACCTTCGGCCAACTCCAGCAGGTCAGCCAATTTCTTGGCAACTGTTGATGACCTGTTCCTGTAAGAGGTTGTCAAAGGACTGCCATGGGGGGAAACCACTCTGGACTTAGTGCTTACCAAAGAGGAGGACATGGTAGGGGACCTGATGATTGGTGGTACCCTGGGTGACAGTGACCATGACCCGATTAGGTTCACCATCCACCGGAAGGCTAGGATTTCAATTAGTATAACAGAGGTCCTAGATTTCAGAAGGGCAGACCCATTAAGAAAGGGATGAGATGTGACCTTGCAAACTATAGACTAGTCAGTTTGACTTCAGTCCTATGAAAAACTTTTGAAAAAATTGTTAAGGAGGTCATCAGTCACAAGCTTATAGCTGATAGGGTATTAAGAAAAAAAACAGTACAGCTTTGTGGAGGGTAGGTTATGCCTAACAAACCTGGTGTCCTTTTACAACCAAGTAACTAACCAGCTGGACAAGAGACATGAGATACATATCATTTACCTAGAGACTTCAGTAAGGCCTTTGAATCGGTCTCCCAGGAAATTCTCTCAATTAAACTGGAGAGTACTGGCCTGGACCTGCCTACGGTGAGGTGGGTGGATAACTGGCTTAGAGGCTGGTCCCAGAGTTGTAATTAATGGGATTGCCTCATTCTGGAGGGCACTATATATAAGTGTATTAAATTTTAAAAAAAAATTATATGCATCCTAAAAATACTTTTCTGTATTAATAAACTGGTAGTCGCCATAGGGATGTGATCACAAGTAGGAGAGATGTGAAATTATGAATATAACAAGTGGCAAGAAGGCTTTCTATTAAAAGCTGTGGTCCTCACTAGAGTGTTTGAGAAGCTAACATGTGGGGGAAAGGTGGGGGGAAGAAGGGAAATAGGGGGAGAAAGGGAGCAGGAAGGGGAGACAAAGGAACTTAAGCATGTTCAGTGGCAGACCAGGACAGGGTAGATTCAAGTCTCAAAGTGCCTTGAAACGTCTCTCAAAAGCTGAAGCACTTTAAGATTAGCAGCAAAACAAAACACAAAAAACCCCACGGATTTAAAACAGAACAGAAGTCTCAACTTAGGGTTTCCAGAGATTTACAGCAGTCTGCAATTTATGAAATGACAAGGAGAAAGGGGGTGGGGGAGAAAGCAAGCAATCAGTTGCCAAGATACAGCCAAACACCAAGAGAAATCCATGGTATCCAAGTCTTTCAGATACCATGGTAATGGCTACTGTATAAGAACCCAGACCGACAGAAACCAGTGAGCTCCTGCTGTGGTTAATTCAGGATTTAGAAAGTCATCTAGAGTCAAACAGTAATGAAGGAGGTTACCTCTGAAGATTAGTATAGGAAGGGCTTTAAACATTTAAATTAACACATAGCCAAGTTTGCTTTCAGTGGAATTGCATGGTAGACTTGTAAAACTTACATAACATGCTTAACACTACATTAGTAGCTGTGGCAGGTAGCTATATTCCACCTTTGCCAATCATCTAAACTGACATTTGCCTTCCTGTCACCAGGATGCAATTATACTGTTTCTTCAGGACCCCTTAACTAGTCCTTCCCACCAGATCCACACCTCTGGGCCACATAAGGGAGGAAGCAATAGCTTGGCTTAGCAACTAAAATTAGTACCAAACCCCCGAGTTGTTTGAACAACATTTCTGCAGAGTCCACCACATACTGAACATTGGGTTCTCTCATTAAACCTTTGTGAGCCAAGATGAAACTAAGCAAGAAACATGCTTAAGGGAATTTAACCACACATTTTTTAAAGTATGAGAGCTGTAGATATACAGAAGCCAAGAGTTCTGAACCCCACAATCTGTTCTCATCCCAACCAAAACCTTGGTACTGGTCATTATCCCTGAGCAAGGTAGACT